CGCTGGCGCGAGCTCGGAGCCCGTTCCCCTATTTCCCTACTTACAGGAAAGAAAAACGTTGCCTTTTTTCCCCTTAATTCCTCATAAAAATGGAGTCGGAGCGCCAGGAGTAAAATCCAGGCTGTTTTCCACTGGGTGCGGTTACTCAGCATCGTCTCCCACCTCGGGGAAGAAGCAGCGGCCGAGTTCCGGCCCGGTTGCACGTGCAATAAATCCGTCTCGGAGCGCACGGCGCATTGGGAACGTTGCCTGGAACAGAAACAATAAACTGAGGGCAGAATGCAAAACACTGTGATTCAATTTTCTTTTTAAAAACAAGCTTGTGGTCACAAGAGCCAAGAGCGGACTCCCAGCTCTTTCGCCTTTGGGCTAGCCGGCGAGGGGGAAATCCCAACCCCAAACTGGGATGAAAAGCGAGCGGATTGGGAGGCTGTACCCCCACGGAGCTGGCACGCTGCCACACAGCCCCTTCTCGAAGCGCTGCCTCGCATTTTAAAGGACTCAAAACGCTGAAGAGCCCAGATGGATTCAATCCCCGCAACACGCTTCCACCACCGTCCGATGACAACAGCTTTCAGGGACACTTTTTTTTATTGTTTGTAACGCTCCTCGGAGCGCAAGAGGCTATAAACATCACAGAAAGGGGCAGACAGTTACATAACAAACTTGGAGGAGGGAGGAGAATTCCATTATCCTAACAAGATACAGATGTCCGCTTTTCCTTGCTACGGAACTGAGTCACTGGTAGCTTTCTCCTTGGCACAGCTCGTTGCACAACACTTCCCAGCGCTCTAAGCCAACTCCAGCTGCCCGTTCTTCAGTGCATGGTGCGTGGTCCGGCTGAAAGTGCCGACCTCTGGCACAAATTTCTCGGCAGGGACCACGAGTTTTCTCCGGCTGTCCATGCACTTGTTGTCCAGCAGCAGGGAACTGGCTTTGTAGCCAATATCTGTCTGAATGCGGTGAAGTTGTCTGTAAAGAGCATCCAAGGCATCCCTGGGAACAGGCAGAAGGGAGAGGAGTTGGGTTCAAGCGCTGCATTCACTTCCCAAGTTGGACAGGAAACACAACTTCCCACTCTCTGGCAGCAGAAACATCTGTGCAGCCTTTGCACGAAGAACGAACGCGTCGGGTAGCGCTCGGTGCATGGCAGCAGCGCTGCCGGGGCTGTGAACAGCGAGCCCACGTGCTGCTCTGGGAGCGCGGCGCCGACACGCACCCCAGGCCAACCCAGAGCAGTTTTTTTCTTTACTTTTCACCCTGGTTTTGGCTTTTGGAACCATCTGTGCCTGGTTGAAGTCAGAGTCGAGCAGGGACCATGGGAACCCCACTCACCCTCCCACCACACGGACCCTGCCACCCAGTCCAGCTCCCCACCAAGCACCAAGACTCGTTCCACTCCTGATGTGAGTAGATGTGAGCTCCAAAATGCAGCGCTGGGAAGCATGCCAGGCCTGGGGCTGCACGTAGCCACCTCCCTCACGTGGGCGACGCTGGGCTACTGCTCTGCCCCAGGCAGCAGCAGACTTACTGTGACTCTGCCAGCTTCTGTCTGAGCACTCGGATCGTTCCCTCCAGCTGCTGGACCTCATCCGTCAGCCCGTACTGGACCTGTGAGGTGGGAGGAGAATGGTGACAGCCGTTAACAGGGCTGAGGTGCTGTTTTACAAGGCCACGTTCTCTCCTTCCCCTCCTCGGCCAGCTATGACGGAAAGTTCCCACATCGCTAGGTGACTGTACCAGCCTTTGCTCAGCCTCTCTGTGGTTTGCACCAAAGTGCACCCACATTTTTCAGACCTACGCGAGCCCCCATCCCGGTAAGTGCCCCCAGACCCTCCTTATGGGATGCGGCCAGGCGAGGCTGGTACCTGATCCCGGCAGAGCTCCATGTGGGGCCGATAGGTGCGGGTCTCCAGGCGGGTGTGCGCCACCTTCAGATCCTGCGTTCTCCTCCGAAGATCTTCCTCCAAGCGCCGGATGTCCTCCTCCATTTCAGCAATTTCCTCCAAGGTCTACGGATAAAGACAGGGATCATGAGGGCCAGCCAGGGATACAGACTGGAAAACAGCCCACGTTACTGCACTGGGAATGGATTCCAAACAGGGGCTGGTGGGCTTTTGAGTACTGAACCCCTCTGCTCACAGACCGGGCTTTTCACCCGGCCCAGGCACGGTGCTGCTGGTGTTTTATGGCCACAGCACTGAGAGCAGGGGTGAAAAAAAAAAAGAAAGGCCAAAGCCTGGCACTGCTGCTGGGAAATGCCAGAGCAGCCACCGTAACGGCAGGACATTGCAGGGATCATACATGCACCACCTAACAGCTCTCATGTGGACAGCATGCTCAGGCCAAGTAGCTTCCCACATAAACACCCCCCTTTTGAGCTCAGTCCCCACCCACGGCTGTGTTCGATAACCAAAGAAGCAACACCTACATTCTGCTCCTGCCATTTCAGCTCATCGTAGGCTCTTTCCAGCTCTCTAATCCTCTTGCGCAGGGCAAACTCTGTAGCCACGCGCTGAGCCTCCAGCTCGTTGTTTGTCTGAGGAGAGAACAGGCTCCAAGTCACACACCCCCCAAGGTGTCCCCCTCCCAGTGACAGTCACATGAGATGCCCTCCTGTGAGGCTGGGACAAGCCACCAGCAGACTAGCTGGGATCTGGCTGCTGCGTGTGCCCTGTGCCAAAGGGCAGGGAACAACGGACAGTCCACTGCAAGCTCCGCAGCGTAACGGAGCTGCCCTTTTAAACCAGGGCAGCTGCTCTCAGAGGCACAGGGGGCAGTGCTGTCTTTTGGAAGACTCCCTTCCCCTCGTCACAGCATGTGCCAGCCCCACTCTCCCACACCGGATCCAGAACTTCTGCCCCACCGATGCGCAGCCAAGGGACTGACTAACCTGCGCAATGGCAAGCACTGCTGCTTCTCGGAGCTCGGTCGAGGCTCTCACTTCTGCCTCAGCGTGCTCCTTGTTACACTGGCTGTTCTGTTCCCACTCATCAAGCGTAGTTGATCTGTGAACAAAGCAGGAGTTATAAAAATAAGACAGTTCAAAAGGAACCACCTGCTGCAGGCCGAGGCGGCTTCGTGCAGTGCAAAACGATTCAGGAATTCTGGAGGTGACGTCCTGTCTGATCTCCGCGCTGCTCCAGCTGGAGATTGCTACCCCACAGACCCTGCACCGAGCCCCGCATCTGCTCAACCCAGGGACACATCCAAGCCGTCCTGTGACACGCCAAGCAAGTGAGAAGGTGCAGCAGCTCCCGGATAAGCTGCTCCAACAGCTGATACCACCTCGCTGACCGCCACCTCCAGCCAAGCACCGGGGAGGCAGGGCAGTAGCTTCTCTGGTTTTGAGGTGACAACTCAGATAACTTCCAAAAGTGTGTGGCTTCACAATTCAAGAGCCACAACAAACCCCAGCAGCCAACTCCTGTTCTGAGGTCTCTCTGTAACTGCACCCGCCAACCCAGGAGATAGCACGGAGGGCAAAAGCACCCCAGGCCTCTTCCAAGCACCAGCACGGATTGGGTCTTTCCTTACCCGTTTGGGACCCGTGCTGGGTTGGCCTTGAAGGAGATGTTGGGAGAGTTCACGCTGAGGGATAAGCACATGCGATCTATTTCCAATGCTTCCATCTTGCACCGGCGGTCACCGCTCAGCTGCTGGCGCGCTTCCTGTAAGATGCTGCAGAAAACAGGGCTGGAGTCAGCGGGGAGCGCACGGAGGGGAGAGGCGGCTCGCAGTTCCCAAAGCTTTCACCACCAGCTCAGCCGTTTTTGTAAGAGTGGTGAGCTCCTACCCTCGCAGTGAACTGAGCCTGAGGTGGTAAAGCAGCACAGCTTTACTGCCTGCCTGGCTCCCCCGTGCTCTGCTCCGGCGTCGCACGGGTGAACAGAGCTGTCTGCCCCCCTGCAGCGGGGCAGTGACCCATGAGGAATTAGGGCCCAGGAGCTTTAACACCTCCAGGTCACTGGTTCCTGAACTAAGGTGGGTGCCACAAGATACCTGTCCAGGCCAAAATTCTCCAAGGATGCTTATGAAGTCTCCCTTGACACACAATCCCCTACGAACCCCCAAACTCCACAGACCGTGACAATAATCACCAAAGGTTCCTCCGAGCAGCTCACCACCCCAGGGTAACCACACCTGGCCTGCTCAGCCATCTCAGCAGGGCGTTAGAGGCACAATAAACTGCTGGGGCCAAGCCAGGAGGGCAGACTCCAGACAAAAACTGCACCATTTGCCTCACCAGAGCTGTTCGAAGGCTTCGTTCACTCTCTGCTGCAGTTGTCTCTTGGCTTGTTCTATCACCTTCACCTCCTTGTGCAGCTCCTCCTCCACAGGGTCCCTCACCACATCGATGGCACGGCGGCTCTCACGGAGCGTCAGGCACTCAATGGAAACCTCCAGGGGCAAATTCTTTGCCTGGAGGGCACCTTCTGCCGCATCCTTCACCTGGAGGAAGAAGCCAGCTGAGTGTGTGTGGGGTCTCCTTCAGGCATGGGAGGAAGAAAGGAAGGGGAACCCAGCGATCCCCTTGTTAAGGGGGTCTTGCAGGGCCTGTCTTTGCAGTTCTCAAACCTTTTAGAAAGTCTGGATTGAAAAATACAGGAGCCAAGGACACTAGTCCTCTACTTCCACTGTTTAAATTGGGAATCACACCTCAGTGGGGGGTAATGACTCCAGCACCCTCTGGGTTTAGAACTAAAAGAATCAGAGATATCCTACTGCTGTTCTCTATTTAAAAGCAAATGTTTTTGAATGGGAGTATTAACGTATTTCTCACTATCATTCAAAGCTTGAAAAAAAAAAAAAGAAACCACAACCCCAAGCCCAAAGATGAGCATGCAATGTACAGCTCCATAAAATGGCTTGGCTTGTCCAAGAACGCAGCAGCTTGTTTTCCAGGACATCATTTCACCATGTACGGATCGCCGTATACCTGTGATGAGCCCCCCCCCTTGAACTCCTGCGATGGGCAAGCCCATACGAAGACAAGCATCAATTATTTAACATCCCATGGTGAGAGGGTAAGTGGATTTCCAGCCATCTGTCTTCCCAACATACTTTGGCTAAGGCATCGATTTCCGCATCTATGTCTGCGAGGCATTTGTCCAGGGTCTCCTTCCATCTGTTCACATTCCTGATACGTTCAGCCAGGCGGGTTTGGTTGTCATGCTCATCCCATTTCGTCTGGAATCGGAGGAGAAACGCCATTACTCTCTTTTAAATTGCAATTGTGGATCTTACTGGAGCCTTGCCCTGTTTTCAGGATCGACTGACCCCTCACAGGAGTACAACGTGTTGCCATGGGGTCTAAGAGTCACCTGTGCAAATGGAGAGGACAAAAAGGATGCGAGAATCCCACCCAGGGACTTCACGACAGTACCCACGCATCGTCACACATGGGTTTGCAGGAAGTAAACGGACATATTCAGCAGGTTCTGTAGAGGCAAAGCCTTCTCCTATTCCCTTGTCCATACTGCCGACTGACAAACCTGGGAGCAGCCAAGCTGCCAGAACGCCCACCTGGTTGTTGGTTTCGTTGCGGAGAGCTCGGGCTTCCTGACGGACTCGGTGGGAAGCAGAACGCTGGCGTTCAGCGTCAGCCGAGATGAGCTGGGAGTTGGCGTGCCAGCTCGGCAAGGTGAACCGCTGTCCTGGCTTTACACTCAGCGTGGCCATCTAGCTAAACAGGTGAGGAAAAGGGAGCGAAAGCTTTTCGTGTTTATTCATGGAAATACACCATCTTCCTTGCTACCCAGCACATCCCTGCAAACCTGGCAGGAATTAGAGAGCACCCAACAGGACCAGCGCAGCTCCTGAGGAGGCTGCAGGTTCCAAAATCCTACAGCCAGGTGGAGTCCTGGGGCAGAGTTTCCCTGGCAGCAGTGTACCCCGTGCCTGTCCCCCAGTCTGCTCCAGCACAGGCAGCTGGGACATTGCTCCCTGAGCAAGCCATGGGCACCAAAGGACAGGGGGGAACTCCTAAGGGGAAGGAAGTCCTGCAGGCAGGCATCAGCACAGGGGCCCGACCCCCTCGAGGTGGAACAGGGAAGGGGCTCAGCCCCCAGCCAGGAGGGGCCCTCACCCTCTCTGGGGACCCACAACCCTGAGCAGGGTGACCCAGCTCCAGCGTGCCAGGGCCCTGCTTACTCGCCCAGGGCTCATCCCGAACCCGGCCCTCCTC